TATAAGGCTTTTGCTGCAGTAAAAGTGTGTTTAACGGTGACGGATGTAGTGTTTTTAGGTTAGTCACGACGAAAAGGGTTGTTAGTCATAACGAAGTAGTCTTTGTACCACATGGCGCAATGGACATATACTGAGCTATGATAGATGTTGGAATTCAAGTTTAGCCATAATGGATGTAAAGTTGGCTGCAGTGAACATGCTATGCAAGGTTAGCCATGGCGGATGAGCACATTTTCACATTAATGTATGTTTAGCCTTGTTAACCTATTCTTAATGCTAAAACTATTCTCCATGTTTCCACAAATTTTTGTGCTCCAATTTTAAGTGTTTTTAAAGGTGATTGTTTTAAATACTTATTTTCAAATGCTTTAGGATCTTGTTATTATTTTCAAATCTTTTCAAGGGCTTGTTTAATTATTTGTAGTTGCGGTTGATTCCTAATTTAAGCGTGGTTTAGTGGTGAGTTAAATTAGGTTAATGATAGGAGTCATTACATCTTGCATGTTTAGATTGAGATGCCTAATTCACTCTTGAAATGATTTTACCTAAAATTTTCAACAACAATGAAACTAAGAAAAAGTAACAAAAAAACTTAGAAATATGAAATTATTAAATCAAGGGTAAATGTGCATTTTTGCACCTGAATTATTTTTCGAGGAGCACTCAATACCTTAAACTATTGGTCAAAGCAATTTTTCTCTTAATATAATTAAAATAGAGCATTTTTACCCTTACAATTAAATTCCTTAATAGTCAATGTTAGAGTCCTAGTTAGCTTATTCTAATGTCAATGTCAGAAATTTGATGATAAGGGAAAAAATGCTTTGGTTTAATTACTTTAAAGGCAAAATTGCTCTAATTAATAGTTTAAGGTACTAGATGCTCCTTATAGAATACTTCAAGGGCAAAATGCACATTTACCCTTGAATCAATTACAATAAAAAAACCCTTTAAGATAAGCATTTGACACAAATAAATAATAATACAAACCAATTTACCAACATTAATTATACAATATAAATAATACAAATATTAGAATACGAGCATAATGTTCACGCATCCATCAAAAGTAGGGTTAAGGTACATTTTTGTCCTTAAAGTATTCACAGAGGAGTATGCAGTATTTTAAACCATTAAGTGAAGTAATGTTACCCTTAAATTTTCAATAATGGAGCAAAATAGCCTTAACCATTTAAAGCCTCTAATGTCTATTAAATTATAATATAGTGGGCTCTATAAGCTTTCATACATGTCTTTTTAAGCTATTTTGAAACTAGCATATGGCTCTAAGCCTCCAGCACACCTATCAATTGTAATATCTAGAGAATTTAACCCATAATTAATATAATAAATGATAATTAATTAAGTAAATTAATGTGGTGTGTGATTATAGAGAGCTAACGGGTGTTTTAGATTGTCATTTAAGCCTTAGGATTGAGTCCAAAATGAAATTGGGCCACCCAAGATTTAAAAAGTGAGAAAAACAAAGAGAGAAGACTCTGTATCACATGCCGTGGCGCATGCATAAGAAGACAAGGTGTATGGGCCAGTTAAAGCACAGAGATCCCTCTCTGTACCACATGCCGATGTGCATGGGGACAAGCGTTGCGATGCACAGTATAAATTTTATAGAATCAGATCACAAAAATAGACAAAAAACAAACATGCACGAAGGAGACGTGAGGAGCCCTGCTAAGGCTTGAAATATTGAAGTATTAAAAGTTTTTGAAGCTTCTAAACACTGAGGTAAGTTTTCTATACTTGAATATCTCTTTCTCTTCTATTTTTCTTGATGATAGGAGTTAGGGTTAGGATGAGAGAGATGATTTTCAATCCATAGATGCTATGAGTCTAAAACTATTGACTTAAATAGAGTTAATGGGAGTTGATTAAGCTATCTAAACCTAACATTTATGGCTATATGTGTTTTTTGGTTGGTTGGGGCCATAAATAGACAAAAATCCATTATGAATGAGGTAGTTAGAGTAATGTGGCTCCATTAATAGTTATTTAGGAGATTAATGAAGTTAACGGAAGTTAGATAAAGCTAAGAAACCCTATCGGTGCCTTGATATGTGAAGGGTATGAATCTTAAGGGAGACGAAGTGTTGAATTAGATAATAGAAATTAGGCAAAAAAAAAAAGGATAGTGATGAATTATATTGTGACTAATTGTAGAATAATCACATTTGGCACCATTCAAGCTTCATGGAAGTTTGGGGTGTGAAATTGAGGGGTACACCTTTGATCTCTTAAAGGTTTGAGGTAATTAAAAAAATTATTTCTTGTGCTTTTTTGTGTTAATTTGTTTATTGAGTCATATTCAATAATTTAAATGTGTGAAATTGAATGAAATGCAAGTATGACATGACTTATTTGAAAATTCACTATAATAATCTTGTAAAGTTCAATGATATATTTTTTCATTTGAAGTTCAATGATATGATTTGCAAATGAAATTCAATGATTGTTGTTATCATGAGGGGTTCAATGACTTGATGTGTGAAAAGTGCAATGAAATAATGCTATGATGTCCTATGATGTGTTCCTTGTGGAGTTCAATGAATGTGTGTGTTATGAGGGGTTTAATAATTATGTGAGATGTGGAGTTCAATGACTATGTGTCAATGGAGTTTATGATCGTATGTTTTGGGAAGTTCAATAATTATGTGTGATGTGGAGTTCTATGATTAATTATGAATTGAGAAAGTGTAGAGTATAATGAAGTGAATTGACATGTTAATGTATGGAATAATTGCATTTTTGATGCATTGCATGATCTTGAGAGGCAAGAGTTCACCTAGGGAGGGGGTAGGAACTAAATTGACATGTTAAGACTTTCATCAAAGCTCGATGGTTACTCTAAATTTATTATTTATATTGTCCTCTTTGTTCAACGAGAGACTGTCTTACTAGTTCAATGAAAGACTTAAACCTAACTAATTTCCACCTGTTCAACGAGGAAGCTAGCCTAGGAAGAATGACATCCTATAGTGTGAGAAATGGGAAAACTATGACCCACTAGTGAGTTAAGCAACCTTGGCCGAGTAACCTCTCACACGTGTTTTGGCTAAGATAGTCTTAATTCATAGATGAGTCCAATATGTTTTAGCCCACAGTTTCATGTCAGAGACATAAGAAAGATATAAGAAAGGTGTGATCATGTATATAATGATAAAAAGACACATGATTGTCAATATTGTGACCTTAGTGAAACAAATCATGTGATTATTTCTATTTTTATATGAAATTGTATTATTAAATCATTATCTTATGAGCACGTGTTATTATGAATGAGAATATTGAATTATGCTCTTGAACATGTTAAATAATTTGAAACTGAATATCCTTGCCAATTGTATTTAAATTGATTAACATGTATTAGTATAAGTTAGATGAACCTTGGTTATTAAATGGTTGTACTCACCCCATTATCTTCAATATTACATGAATTAGCTAAAGGGACAGGACAGAGGAAAATAGTTTAAGGCATAGGATTAATATTCTATTGGTAAGCCTCCTTTTCTTTTTGAGTATTAATGTGTATATTCTTGCATGATATTGTCAACTAGGGATAATTCATATTGTGACTTACTTGTAATATGTGTTTTATTAAACTATATAGTGTATTTTAGGCCATAAGGTGGATATGTATCAATTATGAAACCTATAACAGGGTCAAAATACTAGTGCAAATATGATTTATGTATGACACTTGAATTATGATGACTAATTGATGAAATGTGTGATTGGAGCTCCCTCTATTATTTTTTAGGTTAAGGGATTGAGTAATGAAAAATGTGTTTCATGTGTATCGATAGTGATGTACACCTTGTACAGGTCCATTTTAGTCTATTAAGTATGATTTGAGTGGTGTTTGTGGCATTTGGCTTTTAGTATGAATTTTAGACATTCAAGTAAAGCGTAAATGGTAAAAAGGAGTGAGTTTTGAAAAGAATGTCTAACTTTTGACTAAGAGATAATTTGATTGTGAAACTAAAGCCATTTGTTAAAGTTAGGAGAAAGATTTCTATAAACACCTAAATCACCTCAATCGGATGTTGGACGAAGAAATGGGATGTGTCAAAAATTCACCTCGGTTGTTGTCAAATGATAGCAAAATTTGTTATCAAAATTGCCGAGCTGCGGCATAAAGTATAGAGGCTCACAAGTTGTAGCACATGCCTCTTTTTCTACATTGATTCATTCGTTTCAATTTTTAAGCAAATGCATTAATTCTTTTCAAGATCCTATGTTTTCGCATATTGATTTAACTTTGATTTGCAATTGTAAGTATCTTTTGAGATATTTTTAATATTGAAAATTTCGGATCCCATTGGTATAATTTGACAAGTTTGATAATTACATTGATGTTTCGAGATTAGGAAGGATTAATAAGGATAACCTTACTTGTCTAACCTAGGGATTTTACATTAATGGGGTCTTTTCTTCGTGCAATACAAGCTTATGAAATAAGAGCTATTGGAAACAACTTTCAAACCCATTAAGCAAGCCTAGACTTCTTTAGTAAAAGAACCACTTGCATCAAGTTGTAGTATAAACCCTCTCAGAGTAGAGCCATTTTAGAATTTGAACAAGCCACCTCACCCAGTAGAACCTGAAACTTGAGAGTAAGTTATATCCATGTATATTTAGGTACCATTCTCTTGTATACTTGATGTGGTGCAAAGGTAGAGTGACACTCCTCATATGAGAAGAACCTAAATAATTATGTGCCTTATGGAGGTATCTAGTGATAGTAGTAGCTTGGGTAGCATAGGTTAAGATGGTATTTTAGAAGATTTACTCTTTTCAATGTTTCTAAAAGAGCCAGCACAAGACAACAAACCTACCACCCTAGTGACCCCTTAATCCAGGATCTCTCATGGGCACATCTAGCTCTAAAAACGTAGAAAGAGAGAGAGAGGGGGGGAGAACTTCTTCATATGATCTGTCTATCAAGGTGTTATGCCATTAGTGTTATTGACGACAGCAGTGCAATGGGGCTTGGGGTTCGAACGTTGGGGAAGAAGGAAGAAGGGTATGGATGTGGGAGTGAATAAAAAAAGGAAATTATCATTTCACCCTTGTATTTCCTCTCAACTCTTCCACTTAGATACACTTGTCATGCCATGTAGGAAATTTAAGTCAATTTAATAGTTAATGTTCACGCATTTAACATTAGGGAAAAAATTGCTTTGTTTTTAAAACTTTAAGGGTGACATTACTCTACTTAATAATTTAGGGTACTGGGTGCTCCTCCGCGAATACTTTAAAGGAAAAAAAATACATTTTACCCTATAAAATATAAACTGACATTGTTCATTATTTAGCATTCCTCATTCAAGACAATAAACCTAGTAGCACAAACATTTTATCCAAAATCAAACATAAAAATAAAATAAATAAATATCTTAGGCTAGATAGGGGCAACATGGTAAGGAATTTTAGCCTTAAACTTTTTCCAACCCGAGCTTCAGGCTGGCTTGACCATGCCTAAAATATTTTCAACAATTTTTTCCTATCTTTGAGGCTAGGCCAAGCTTGTCAAGTATTCGAGCCATGTCGCCTCCACAAATATAAAAAAGTCAGTTCAACTTGAATCTTTTAAAAAAAGTATACATCTTTTTAACTACACCTTTATTAAATGCTTTATATAAGTGCCTTAATAATAACAATTGAAATTTTAATAGACTTTTTTTTTCCAATAGGAATAATAAATAAAGGAAGATTATAGTTAGAAAAAAATTTAAAAAGACTACCTAATAACTTGTATTTTGAACTAAGCATAATTTCTAGAAAATGTCATGCCTTTTGATTTGGAAGGAGTATATTTTAGATTATAAAGACAAATTATACATGTTAAATTTCTAGAACCAATTCCCATTTTAACAAATTAAGTAGAGCCAATAAGTCAAGTGAGTTGAGATTATTCAGATTGGCCCAAAGAAGCTTGAATTTATAAAAAAATTATATGACCAATTCCGACCATAATATATATTCTTGAGTTTCAAACTTATTTGGATTGGGCAGAATACATGAATTGCCAACTTTTTTCTTAAAAAAATAAAATATCTAGTTTTACTTTAAAATTAATTATTTATGTTCTTATAAAAATATAAAATATCCTTTTTAGAATACTTAAAAAAAGGTTAATTAATTTAAAAAAACTGGGGAATTTAAAGTTTAAAGTCAACATTAAAATATATTTTCAATATTATTGTAAGATATTTTATATATTAAAAATAATAAAAATGTGAAAATATTAATATTTTTTATTTTTTAAACAAAATATCTATAATAATATCCTAAAATATATGGTTTCTTATTGAAACCAAAAAAATGTATGGTTTAAAATAACCCAACACTTAAAGGATTAATAAACATTTAATACACTTTTTAAAAAAAAATTAAAACTGTTATTCGGTATTCAGGCAAGGCATAAAAAAACGTGCAATTCTGCTAAGCCTAATCCTAATGTTTTTTGAATTTATTCGGGTTGATATGAATTGCTAGCCCTACAATTATACCAGTCAGCCAGATTTTCAGGACAGTGTATTTTACTGCTTGAGCTACCGCCCACCAATGTCTGCCACTGTTTGCCATTGTCTAGTTGCTCCGTAAAAAATGATTTTTTTATTACAAAATAATCATCACTTAAATGGACTTGCCTCCATTTTCTCATTGGAAAGCCCGGATAGCTGTGAAATGAAAACCGGGATCAAGATTCCTGATTCATTCATCTCTAACTACGTGTCGTTTGTTTAACACTCCTATTCTCAATCACGTAAATCAGCCGTATGTCGTTTTAAAGCAAAACGCGCCACCGTTTGCTCGTCCTGCAAAGTCAAACGACGTGGCACTTTCTGTGCCATGGATTTATATCTTCATTTCTAAGCAAAGCCTCAGTTATCTGCGCCAAGCCCCATTACTTACCTTCCAGGACTTCACCTCTCGGCGTCCTGGTTGCTACTTGCTTCTTTTCCTCGCGACCCTTTTCAGGGCTTCGCCTCACTCTTCCACCACTACCAAGCTTGCTGAAGGTGCTGCCATGGCCACTACGACTCTTCCATGGCAGCCTATTCGCCCAGTAAAGCTTCATCGGTGCTCGGTATCGGTTCGTCCCACGGTTTCTGTCCAAGCCTTCCGACGGAGCGACTTTGATAACTTTGCTCAGCGCATGTCTTCGGGTGAGGCATGGAAGGATGCTTGGCGCAGTGCCAATAATGGCTTCGAGCAGCTACTTTTTGAAGCAAAGAAGACTGCTGAGCGGTTAGACCGCCGTTACGAGGTATCGCGGCGGTTAAGTGCGGTAACGAGGTCTGCCGTTGATAGGGCGCGTGAGATTGATCGTGAATTAGAGATTGGAATGCGATGGCGTACTTTCACTATGGATTTCAGTAGAAACTGGCCGAGAGTGGGTTCCCTCATTTGTTCTTAAACAGTTCAATGACATGATTCTTGTTTTAAGTTGACCGGATCTGGGTCTTTATTGCTCTTCTAGCTGTTGGGCATCTATGTCCTTTAACGGCCCTTTACATGTTATTTAAGTTCATTGCTTTTTTGTTTTTTGGGAGCAATGATTCGTGTCTCATTTATAAATATATTAAGTGGAAGTTAATTGGGTAGTTAGTTAAGTCTAATTTAGACAGTCAGAAATGTTAGTGAGCCATGCCAACTATTAAGAGCTCATTCTCACTTGTCAGGTTATGGTGTCGATTCATACTTCATTTGTGATGTATTGGATTTAACTTCAAGTTGGTTAATCTTCACCCGTTCTTCGGCGTTTACTCTCACTCTCTCCTCGCATTAATGCTTTCTAGAGTATGTGGTAATTGGAATTCTACCATACAAAAAGATAAAACATAATCAATGGTGTCAATTTAATTTCATTTTGAGGACATATAACATATGTCACTTGATTTTGGATTCTGAAAGCAAGATTAGATGACTTACCCTAAGTCTAGCACAAGTCATAAATAATCTCTCAATTAGAATATTTACTGGCGATTATGTCAATATGTCATAAAAGGATGCTGATGTGTAGATAGAAAGAGAGAGAGAGAGAGAGAGAGAGAGATAGGAGTTGATAGAGATAAACAGAGGAGAGTAGAGACTGAATAACACTCTTCAACTATGAATTAGCAGTAACATAACACCCATAAATCTTAAGCCCCCTTATTTATGCACTAATCTAGTAGGCTTTAACACTAATGGTCATAAATCTCTACTTGTAACTACATTTTTATTATATTATGTGCATAGAAGATGCTAAAGAAAATACTTTTATATTGAATTATTGTCCTCTTGTAGGATAAATTGTTACTATGACGGCCAAAAACATGGTTATCATCCATCACTTCCATCTTTATAATTCATTGTCGTCCTACACATTATCATTTCTGCCATTGCCCATAGCTTAACGATAGTACTAGAGAAATTATAATTGGGTTGATCTAGCTGTGTTCTTTGTTTCTTTTTTGAGTTATGGAATGTTGAGGTTAATGGATTTCTGGCCTCGTAAGATTTTTATTTTCTCTGTATTTCAATGTTTTTTACAGTCTGAACAATTATGGTTTTGTTTGGTTATATTTGCAGTACAGGATGCAGCTCAACAGCTTTCTGGATAGTCCAATTGGAAGGAGCTCTGCAGTAAGTATTCTTTATATAATTATTCAATCATTTTTTATGACTCTTGTCATATTAACGGTGCTTTTCTGTCTGGACTCCAACATTGCTTGTTATAAAGTGTAGTCTTGTGTTTGTTGGTTTTCAAAGTGTGCTCTTTTATGGTAGTAGCTCTTAATCATTTGAAAATATTCCATCTTTATCTCCTAGTTACATGCTTTGTTATTATGGTTGTTAGGTAGGTTCAACCATAAAGTGCTTCTGCTGTCAGAACTGCAAAGGACTGATCTTATTATGATGCTAGCAGTTTATTATGTGATAGTAAGTGAAAAATACGCATGACATACCTTCCTATGTTATATTTTGTGCTGTAGGTTCCTTTTTTCAGAAGCTTAAAGAACAGCGAAGGTTATATAATATTTCATTCTGTTTAGGGATTTTAATCTTTTGTTGGTTGGGATGTTTCTTGTAGGTAGAAGAATGAGATTTGTTTTGGCATCAAAAAGTGTGTTTCTTTAAGAAATATGGTTATTGTGTTTGCCATTTGTTAGTACCAGAAGACAAATTTTAGCTTTCTCTTATGATCTGGTGCAATCAGATCTATAGATTTCCTTTTTAAATCCAGTATCCTTTTTCTCTCCAGATGTGTCACCATCCTGTGTTCACGTTCCCTCATTTGTTCTTCCTTGATTTGGTGCAATTATAATGGCTATTTGACTTAAATAGTTCAATGGAAAGTTCTTGATTTAAGTTCCCCAGATCTGGGTCTTTATTGCTCTTCTAGCTGTTGGTTATCAATGTCCTTTATCTGTCACATGTTATTTTTGTTCTTTTTCTGCTGTCTTCATTGTTTTTGTGGGAGAAATGATTTTGGTGTAATTTATTCATTGTTTCCCTCACTCTTCCTGTATGTATATTCAGTCCTCTTCTTCATGTAAAGGCAATATTCTGATCAACGAAATACTTGGATAGGTTATGTATACAATCTCACACAAGAAAATGGTAGGTTACGTGCAAGATGTTTCACATAGTTAGTATCATACAACACAATCAGAGTTAGGATAAATCATGCAGACACGATGGCTTGCCCTATTAGTCAATTCTTTTGGAACCTTTCATTTCATATTGTCTTTTCTATCTTGGATCATTTGATGTCTTTGTTCACATGCCCTAGTCAAGGTTCAGTCCATAGTCCTTGTATCACCATGAGCATACTGTCATTATTCACATTCTGGGTTATCCAGGTCAAGTGTAAATAATTTATACACCTTATGCCTTGGTACTCCTCAAGCAAACAAAAACCGCTGGCTCAAAAGATTATACAATGGGTACTGGCTATGGGAAAAGAAGTGACATAGGAGTAGGGAATAGGTGCAGCTAAGGGTAGGGGCAGTGATTCTGCAACTTTTTTGGGTTTTAAATCCTCAAATTCAGCAGATAAGGAAGTTCAATCTTTTGGTGAGTGATGCGTGTTTGAAGAGTACTGGTCTCTTGAAAGTTGTGTGTTGGGGTGGAGGAAGATCATCTTCTCCATCGTTTTCTCTGTTTTAGTGTGTTAGTGGCTTATGTTTGAGGTTGATGTTTTGTGGTGTGTATTTTGTATTGGTCCTTGTTCCTGTAACTGTATTCAGTTTAGTGTATGAGGAGGAAGATTGTGTTAGCTGGAATCATTATTTCCCTTGTAATCCAACTTTATTACTCAGCAATAGTATTTTCAGTCCCATTTGAAGTGTATTTTCTGGTTCTTGCTTGTTTTAAGCTTATAAGAATAGAGGGTTCTATCGTATTGTTTATGTGCAAATTGTTTTTTCAGACAATTTTCTTCATCTGGTTTGCATTATCTGGCTGGCTTTTTCGGATCTTGGTGATTGCAACTTGGGTTCTTCCGATTGCTGGACCTCTCCTCATTGGCACACTGGCTAACAACCTAGTTATCAAGGTATTTGAGAAAGTTGATTGGGTCTGCAATGTGCCTTGCACTTGAAAGCATTCTGAATGTTTTTGTTTGGCCATTAGTCATTGACAAAAATTTATCTTAATGTTGTTTTTCTTTCCCTCCTTTAGGCCTATTTTTCTCTTCTGATGTATGGAAATTTGCTTATGAGAGATGAAAGGGTCAAAGAAAGGAGGATGATATTAAATTTTTAAAACAAGCACGAAATTTAAGAGCACAGCAGTAACAAACTAGCTCATGTGACTCAATAAAGTTCTTGATCCCTTCTGCTTATGTAACGAGGAAAAGGGGATGACAATTAAGTCCCAAAAATCAGAATTTATGTCACTTGAGTTCCTGGCAATTTTTTTTTAAATAAATTACAAATATTGATTCAAACAGTTGCAAACAAGAATATCATTTGAAAGTTAAGAATTATATTTAAAATTTAAATGTTTTATTTACAGTTAGAACTTCTGAATTAATATTTGCAACTAATTTTTCAGAAAATTTTGTTGGGGATTTAACTGTCATAAATTCTTATTTTTTGGATTTTATGTCATTCTCCCACAAGGAAAAGCCTAAGCAGTTATGCACTTCCAAGTTATATCTACTGAAGTAGAAGCATTTTGCTCCTGACAAATACTGCTAATGATTATTTGTTTTATTCTTTAATCCACTCAATGTCTTTTGAAAAGTCGCCTCAAGCGTTTGCTACATCGCCAATTGTTGCAGGGCACATGTCCGGCTTGCAGGATGCAATTTGCTGGCTACAAGAACCAAATAATTCGATGTACAAGCTGTGGCAACATTGTGTGGCAACCCAAAGGAGATTTCTTCTCAAAGGACGGAAGAACATCTTCTTCTAAATCAGATCCTGATATCATTGATGTTGACTTTGAGGAGAAATGAAGAGATGCATAGTCAGCATTTATAATGATTCTGGACTTCACAGTGGAAAGATACAGCAAATAGAATACTCAGTGCTCCCGTTTGTTTATTTGTAGTGTACTTGATTTTGTTAGATTGAGTTTTGTTCTTTACACAGTGCCTCGAGTGCTTAGTGGATTTGTTCAGCTGCATGGACTCGAAAATCTTTCTTGATACTGAGTCTATTGATTAGATGAGAGAGGAAGAGGGAGAATAAAAGAAGAACATACAAATTGATGTGAAAAATATTTTATATGCCCTGCTGCAATCTTGAATGTACAGAAATAATATATTGCCCTCAAATTTTGTGTCATCTGTTCTTGGAAAACCCGCGTAGCATGTTTTCATGCATTTGTGACTGCTTGTAATGTTTTTATATGCATGAAAAAAAAGATGAATATAAAAATAATAAAAGTAATGATTTTATTAGTTTCATTGAGATAATTAATTCTTAACTGCCAATGCCGGATTTAGTTGCCTGCTTTGTGAATTTACTCTTAAATACCAATACCTTTTTCCCCCTTCTGTTTCTGTTACCCATTTTTTCCACTGAAAATATTTCACTAGGTTAAAAATAAAAAACAAATGGTTATTGTATTTAAACTAATTTTCAAATGATCCATATGGAATGATAAATTTACCCCCTTATTCGAGCAAAAGCAAATAATCGAATTCTGAAGGTTGAATGCACCATGAAAAGAAGAAAGGAAAGTAAAACCGTTTTGAGTTTTTAAGGGATGAAATTATGAGATTAGAAAATGTACATGTGCATTAGTTTTCTTCTATGCTTTTTTTTCCCCCCTTTTTCTGCCAACAATCAAATATTTGCAATTTCATCCTCTATCATGTGTGTTATTTATTGAAGGGATTTTTTTTAAATTCTTATAGTTTTACTTAATTTTGAATTAAGTTTCTATAATTTATTTTGTTTTAATCATACTCTTATAGTTTGATATATTATATATGTTAAGTTGTTAACCCGAGGTTAAAATTAATATTAAATTATTTAATTTTAAAAATAAATATACTTTTGGAATTTACAAAAAAATTAATTTAATACCTTTAGCCAAAATAAAAAAATTGATTGAATGCACTATTTACATTTTATAATTTTTTAATAAAAATTTTATATGTATAAAAAATATTTAGAAGACAACTTAATTATATAAATTTTGAGTTACAAAAATTATTTAATTAATTTTAAAATTAAATAATTATTTAATAAAAATATAAAAGTTCTTAATTTTGTTCTAGGAAAAATTTAAAGATTTTAACCTTTAGGGATTAAAATATTTAATTGATAAAACTATAAGAGTTCAATTAAAATACAATAAATTGCAGTGACCTAATTCAAAATTGAGTGAAACTATAAAGACTTGTAGGTATATTTTTCTTTTATTAAATAATCTATTAGTGACAAAAGAAAACAAATTGTTGTTTGATCTAATATTTAAAATAAAATGTTGGATTTAAATTTGAATCAAATTTATTATTTGAGTAATTAAAAGATAACTTTTTTGGCAATATATTTTGCTGCATTTATCAAAAGAAACTACAAAAGACTTTTATTTAATTAGTTAATATCAATATATACAATTACAATATTTCACTACTTTTAATATATATTAAGACAATTATATTTATTTTGATGTAAGTGAGAATTTAAATTAGAGTGTTGATATATTAATCATATTTCCATTAATTAGATCACCATCATATTACCTTATTATTTAAATGAAATTGCTCATACCTGTTGTGGTAAAAAAAAAAAAATGCTCCCACTTGAAACCACAAGCCTAGCTAACTAATTAAGAAATAACACAATCACAAAAATTCTTTTTTTTTAACAACAATTAATATTTGTGGAATTTTTCAAATGAAGGTCTACGTTCTGGTTGATAGAATTCTGTGTGAAATTAATAATGTTCAGATTTCTAAATTTATGAGAAAGGTTGATATAAATAAAAAAGTGAAGTTGTGTTGGTGTTTTCCTAGTAAAGGTGGGATTAAATTAAATTATGATGGGGCTTTTGATGAGATAAAAAGTTGTGATAGTATTGAGATTGTTGGAAGAGATGATTTGAATAACTTTGTGACAGGTATAAGTGAAAAAGTGATAAGTTTTTTAGCTTTAATGATTGAAACTTTGGCTTTAAAAATGATTTTACTACTTGCTAAAGAACTAAGAATTGTGAGTATATGTGTTGAAGGGAATTGTGAGGTCTTATATAAAGTTGTTACTCATGATATGGTTGTTTCCTGTGGCTAGAAAAGTGTTGGCATTATTAATGATATTTGTTACTCATGGCCTTCTGTGAAGAATTGTTGTCTGTCTCTTGTTTATAAGATGTGAATAAAGTTGTAGATTTTCTTGTAGTGGATACTAAAAGGAAGATGGAACCAATTGGTTTGGTGATGTCACCTCCATCTACCTTAACTTGGATTATACTTTTTGACAAGGCTAAAGCATTGAATAGTGATGATGCTAGGAGGAATGTATCTTTTGTAAAGAAATACATTGGATGATGACTTTTATTGTGTTTTGTATTTTTGTTGGCTTTTGTTGTTCTTGTTTTTTATTTTTGTTAAACTGATTATTGTATTTTTTTTGTGTGCCTTGTTGTGTTAGGTTGTATGTGTAGGGTTTTTGAGTGTTTTTTTTTTTTTGGCTTGAGCTATTAGTGTTTATAATTGTTTTTTGGTGATTAATAAAATTGACTCTTTTTCTGGCAAAATAAAAAATAAAAAATGAAGGTCTACGTTGATCACGAACCACCTAACTGTTTCAGATGAACAAACTGAATAAAGTAAATAAATGTTGTAGAGGAAACTAAAATAGACTAATAAGAATTCAATTGCTCTGCTGAGGCAATTGTACACGGCTAAAGCGCCCTCCACTTGGATTTAAAGTTATAACCACAGAACTCAGCTTGCTCGCCCGAAAATTAGAGCATTATATCCAATTTATTGCTTCATAAATCACGCAATGTGGGACTTATTTGTTCTTTTTAAGGAGTTCTTCAGTTTTTCTCACTATATTTTCATTTGGCATATGACATTATAAAATAACAAGACCTTAGTAAAGAATTGAAGCTAGTAAATATACACGTAATTTGGATTTGATTGATAGTTGATAAAACGTCTTTCTCTAGAATCTAAAATCCCCACATATTAGTTTGATAAAAGTTATGTTTTAAATTTTTTTTCCGCAGCCACAAAGAAGGAGAAATTAGTTGGGATTTGGATCAGTTTAAATTTACTCATGGTGTCAATGTCTTCATTACAATTATTAGATTGCATCAACACTAAAAGATTATCAAGATATATTTAAAAAAAAATTCAAAAAAATTCTCCTGATTATAGTACCTTTCAAGTATATTGTCCCTTTTAAAAATTTGATATTTAATGCTTTCTAAGTACGTCTAACAATTTTTTTTTTTATAATTGTTAGATTAAACCAACTACCATATCATGTTAAAAACAATAAGTCTTATCGCTCTAGGTGAGGTCGACTACATAGATTATATAATGTTATGGTGCTCTATTGTTTACCAAATTTTAGGAATATTGTTAACTAAGAAGTCTTAATCAACAACTTCCATAATTATTTTCTTTAGCCTTCATCTACTTCTTCTTTTAATAGGGCTCAAAATGATCCGTTTCACTTCTCTCATTAGTACCTCCTACAATCTTCTTTGTACATATCTAAACTATTTCAAATGATTTTCTAAGATTTTCCTTTTAATAGATGCTATGTCCACTTTTTCTCATACTTACTCATTTCAGAACTTATTTTTATGTGTATGCCTGCACATCCATCTCAATTAAGGTATTAAAAACCAAACCGAACATTAAACCGACCAAAGTCAAAAGTTTAATTGAGGTCAAACCGATCATAATAAAATAATATATTTTTTATTATATCATAAATAATAAATAATTTGTTAAAAAATAACGTAGATATATAAAATTTATAATATATAGATTTTTTTCTTACCATCTATTTTATCTAGCCTGACAAAGATGACCATCCCTTCACTGTTATTAATGTACAATAGAATCACATCACCTTTCTGACTTTTCCTTCATGCGTTGGTTCATGCACATCTTCGTATCTTTCCTTCTTCATTCTTCATCTCTTTCTTTCTTCTTTCTTCATTTGCTTCTCTCTTCTTCTTTTTACATCTTAACTGAAGCCTTGAAGAGAACACACACAACAACAACATTGAGCGCTTGAGCAACACTAAGGGACAAGTGAAGAAGGCGAGACCTACGATGGATGCTGAGGAGCATTGAGGGATGGAGAGAGCTTGACTGAGATCCAAGAGTGAGTAGAGAATTGGAGATGAGAAGTAAAGCCGTGAAGGAGGAGGAGGAGGGGGAAGGAGAAAGATTGAATGGAGTAAGGCTTTTGTTTCTCTATTTTTTTTTCTAAATTTCTGGGGGTTAGAAATTTTAAAAATCTAACAACCCGCCCAACCACTTAATCTATGAGGTTAGGTGGGTTAATCTTGAGTTAGCTGCGTCCACTTTAAATAAGAAAATTGGACTCGACACACGGCCAAGTCATCAGTCCGATTGGCTAGTTTAGTCTGATTTTGCAAACAATAATCTCAATATTCTCATCTATGCTATTTTAATTTTATACTCTTGCTATCCTGTTAAAGAGCAACATTCACTATCATACAACATAATTGATATTATACCAGTTTCATAAAACTTTCATTTAAGTTTATTAGGTATCTTACAATTGTAAATAACTTCTTTGTTCTTTCTTCAGTTAAACTACCCAACTTGTATCTTATGTGCAATATATCCATTAATTTCCCCATCATGTTGCATAATACTCTTAAATATCTAAACTTTTCCATAGATATAATTTGATATTCTAATTTAATTTTTAAATTATTACTGACTGATCTCTTATCAAAATTATAATGTAATTATGTAAATATTTCGTCTTACTCCTACTCAGGTTTTTAACTCCAATATCCTTCTTCATAACTCAAATTTATAGTTAATCTCTTCTTATGTCTTCGCAATAAGAACTATATCATTCATAAAAACATATGCTCTTGAATATGTTCAATTGAAATATTTAAGAACTGTTCAAACAAAAAAAGACTCACAAATGATACTTAATATAATCCAATCCCTTTGAAAAACTCCGTTGTTTCATCATCAAATGTTCTTAAACTAGTTGTTTTCTTTTTATATATATCTTGTATAGCTCTAATATAAGAAACTTGAACTCATTTTTTTTCCAAAGCTTTCCAAAGAAATTTTTTTAATATATGGTCATGAACTTTTTTTTAAAACAATAAAAATCATGTGTAAATCTTTAGTTTCATATTGATACTTTTTCATTAATCTTCTTATTAGATAAATTGCTTCTATGCTCACCTTATTTAGCATGAAACCAAATTAATTTTTAAAAATATCAGTTTTCAATCTCAATCTATATTTAATAATTTTTTTATAATTTTATTATATGACTTATAAATTTAATTTTTATATAGTCAGTGCGATTGTTAATCCCTCCACCCTATCATGTCATGTGGGAGATTTATTGAGTCGGTAAATTTGTTACACTTGGTGAGCCACATCATGCACTTGAAAATGGCTTCTGAAGTTACAAAGTCTATTAGACGGAGATCAAGAAACTCTTGAACGGTGAAACCCCACATCGTCTGTGAACGATGAAGACCAGACGATAAAAGGGACGGAGTACATTCTTCAGAGTACGACCTTACTTGAACAGGATCTGTTCTATAGGCTCGTACTTCTGTGTCCTTAAGTATAAAGGAGACAAGAACCACAACTTGGATGATGACTGAAGATCGCGTGACCAGAGCGTGAGTACTGGTCGGCTGCTCCAAACTTGTTTGGCTCAGCTTGGCCGCAGAGGATCGTTCCCGTGGGGCTACCCCCCATGGGATGGTCGCGTGATTGTCTTGACAGGTTCTCAAATGTTTTTATTACGGACCACCGCGTAAGATTTTCTCATCTCTGTTTCTTCTTTCGTTTTTTTTTTTTGGCTTCTGTTTGATTGCGATATTTCAGTTGAAAAACCATTGATGTCGACCTCTATTAAGGTGCTTATCAAATCTCAGCCTCCGGTGAGCGCCGGAGATCGACGGCGATGACCACCCTCAAGGACCAGTGACGGTGGCTACGAAAGGTGCTTGAGAGGAGATTGCTTCGAATGGAGCGAGGGGGGTTATAGTTGAAGAGATATATCTCAGGTTTAATTTCTCATCTAACTTACGCGGGTTAATTATAATCATCAAATCGCATAGACAAATAGCACTTCACATCTGTTCTATTTATTGTGCATTTGGGGAAAAATATTGAAAGAAATAAAACAAAATCGTGTATTTGGATAAACATAATCATTTGAAGACCGAATCAACCTGTCAAAGTCAGTTGTAGCTTAGCTGCTATTCCACAACTTAGTTTATAGGCTATGGAAACTTCTAGATTGTCAAGTCCCTTGTTAACTACACTAATTGATTAGTGTAAGAGAGAGAGGCCTTAGATTTGCCTCGAATGAGAGTTAACCTACTGATTGTAGGTGTAGAAGATAGTGGCAAAACACAATGCTAATGGAATTTTTCTCTGATGGGGCATTCACGGTAAAATCATCCTATGAACTGCTAAAGCATGAAGAGGAGAATTATGGCATCTAGTGTGGATATGTCCAGGAGATCAACGTGTTAAAAAGGGAAACTTCTAAGTTCTAGCCAACAGTGAATGGAAAAGGAGGAGACAAATGATTATGACAGATGAATGGATGATTGAGTGGGTGGCCTCTGTAATTATGGAAGTGAAGATATAGATTATTGTATCAAGAGGATGCCCACGCAAAAGGGATCTGGAGGTAGAATTGAAAATTTCTTTAGAACCATGGAATTAATGGTTTATCAATAATTTAAAGACGAGGCATGCACGCTGATAGAAATGAGGGTGAAGCTTGCAAAGTTAAATTCTGGTATTGCCTGTTGGAAACTCTGGGAATTCAAAACATGACATAGAGATAGTTTGCAAATACAAATGATGGTAGTGATGAACATGGTGGTTTTATTAGCCTAAGGTGTAAAATTTCATGCTGACTTCTGCTTCTCTGGCACTTGTACTTAATAATTTAAGTTAAAGGTTTAGTATTCAATTTTCATATTGTACCCTAACAGGAATAGTGTCTTATTGTCTGAGAGCTTAATAAAATTGAGTGTGACTTATATGAGATGGAGATATCTTTTGACTAATAATGCAGTGAATCATTTTCTTTAAGGAAAAGTGAGATTCTGCACATCATATCAGCAATTTCCTAACTGTAGAAGCAGACACAAGCAAAAAGGGGCAAAAAGCAAAAAGTCTAACGTGATGAATTCGGCCATCACTGCCATTATTTTATATATTTTAGCTGAAAAGGTCTAAAATATTCTATTTAAATGTTATTTTTGCTCATTCTGAGATCTCTACATAAGTTTTCGTAGTCATTATAATCAATGAAATGGAATATATATCAAAACAACCTATAATTGTATATTTAGGTCGAAATAGGAGAAAACTAATAAACCAAATGATCAAATCAATCTACACTCTCAACGGAAGGAAAAGTGAAGTTTCATTATGCAGAGTTTGGAATGTCCTCTACAATGAGATTGTGACTGCTGTAGATATATTAGACAGTGTTGTATTTTCTTCTTAGATGGACTGAAATTTAATCAGTTTAAATTTTTAATGTGTATCATTCACTATTTAAAAATTTCAGAACCACTCCTAAGATTTCGTGGAGCAGCATCCAAATTATTATGGCTTTTATCTGGAAGAACCTTCCATGTTCTCCGTCTTTATTTTTCCTCTTCTTTTGCATTTATCAAAATCAAATAATAACTGGAAATTCTGTAGTTCCCTTAGAGGCGAATGTCACACTAACATTAATCCTTTGTGTATGTGGGTCCTATACATATTCATCATCGATACTTTGCAAGTTTCTATGCTTCACAGGTGTCCACCTTATTAAGTTATTTGTTTTAGCATGGCTTGAAGCATGCTTTGCAAATTTGGAAAAACTCCTTTTTGATTTACTTCTTATAGTATTTGTACAGAAAAAATAAATCAAGGCTCAGTTGCAAGTTTTGCTGTGGTTTGGTGTATTAGTTTCGATCAAAATACATTATCTTCAAGGTTTCAATGAATTTTGAGATGGGATCTTTCTGGTGGTTGCCATTTATGCAGTTTCTGCTTGATCTACATAGGGCGATCAAGCAGCTTTGTTACAGTTTTAATTCCTTTTCCTTTCGTTTTCTCTTTTTTTGTACATTTTTAATTTTTTGTTGGGGGATTCTTCTGATTTACGGTACTTTTCTGCATTGGATTCTTTTACCAGTAAGGAAATATCTAACTGTTGATCGATTTCCACAATAAAAGAATTTCTTGAGTATGATCTCTTGTGTATGCGGAAATATACTTCATGTAATTTTTCATTTTTCTTTTGACACCACAACCATGTTCTATTATATATGTGGAAATTGTTTTTTCAGACTGTTTTCTTCATCTTGTTTGCATTATCTGGTGGCATTGTTGGTGATTGTGATTTGAGTTCTTCCATTTGCTGGACCTCTTCTCGTCGTACACTGGGTAACAACCTAGTTGCCAAGGTATTTGAGAAAGTTGATTGGGTCTAAAATGTACCTTGCACTTAAAAGCATTCTGAATGTTTTTGTTTAGCGATTAGTCATTGAAAAAAATTGATTTCAATTTTGCTTTTCTTTTCCTTCTTTTGGCCAAAAAAATTATTTTTCTTTTCTGATGTATGGAAATTTGCTTACAAGAGATGAAAGGGCAAAGAAACGAGGATGATAATAAATTCTTGAAACGAAGCACAACATTTAAGAGCAAAACAGTATCGAACTAGAGCTCCTGTGACTCAATAAAGTTATTGAACCCTTTAAGCTTGCGTGACAAGGAAAAGCCTAAGCAGTTTTGCACTTCCAAGTTATATTTCGGTGCTGACAAATACTGATAATGATTTTTTTTTTATTCTAAATCCAGTCTGTCTTTTTGAAAAGTCACCTCAAGAGTCTGCTACCTCCAATTTTGCAGGGCACATGTCCAGCTTGCAGAACGCAATTCGCTGGCTACAAGAACCGAATAATTAGATGTACAAGCTATGGCAACCCAAAGGAGATTTCTTCTTTAAGGAAGGAAGAAGAACATCCTCTTCTAAATCAGATCCTGATATAATTGATGTTGACTTTGAGGAGAATTGAAGAGATGCATGGTCAGCATTTATGATGATTCTGGACTTCACAGTGGAAAGATACAGCAAATTGACTACACAGTGCTCCTGTTTGTTTATTTGTAGTGTACTTGATTCTGTTAGATTGAGTTTTGGTTCTTTACACAGTGCCTTAAGTGCTTAGTGGGTTTGTTCATGGACTTGTAAAATCTTTATTGATACTACGAGTCTATTGATTAGATGAGAGAGAGAAATGCAAATTGATGTGAATCATATTTTACATGCCTTGTTGCAACCTTGAATGTATAGAAATAATCTGTTGCCCTCAAATGTTTTGTCATTTTTCTTTAAATTTCAATCGGAATGGTGTTGTTAACGTTCTTAGAAGGAGAAACCCGGCGTAGAATGTGTTTTATGCATTATGATGAATGTAAAATTAATAAAAAAATGATTTTGTTAGTTTCATTGAGATAATTAATTCATGACTCCTTTTACCAACCTTATTTGCCTGCTTTGTGAATTTATTCTTAAATGCCAATATTTTTTTATTAGCTTAAGAAAAATAATTAGTACTGCTTCGAATTCGATGTCTCAAACAAACAATTAAAGGAAAGTAATTTATGAGATTAGGATAATGAGCAAGATTAATGAAGATGCATTATTTATTTATTATTTAACATATCAAATTTTATATTATATGCATTTTTCAAACATTTCAAATATATTGCATGTGTAATAAAAATTACATATCATACAATCAATTTCTTTTTTGTAATTATATCTATAGAAGTACCTTTTATTATATATTATTTAAATAACTTTAAATTTATTAAACTGACTTTAAAAAAATATCTAAACAAAAATTTTATTATAATAACTTATTTTTATAAAATAAACTTTCAGAGCAAACAAAAAAAATCAGAGAGGCCCTAAGTAAAAGAAAACACGAGAAAGATCGGGGGAATGGAACCACTGGAACTTAGAAGATCATCAAAAAGCTACACCAAACTCAAAGGCAAACACCTTTGGGTTTAGTGGCCTACGTTGTCTCTTTCTACATTAGATTCTGGGTTCGATCCTCGACTCTCCAGGCATAATGCTTGCCCTTTAATTTGATTTTTTTTTTAAAAGGCAATGCCACGTTGGAAAATTATTTTCCAAGGTTTTAAAAATTGAATCGACTGATTGAACAAAAAAACCAGCTCTTGATCCAGTTTAGCTAACTCCTAAGAACCGGTTATTAGGGAATTGATAAAATCGGATAAAAACTGAACTAATTTTCATGAGAAAATCAGACAAAATTAAAAAAAAATCAGAATTAAAATTAAAATACTGAAAGCTTTGGACTATAAGCTATAAGTTTTGCAAACATAAGCTCAGCCTCTCCCATGACACCCATGTTCTACTTCTACCCTAAGATATGCACGCTTTTTTTTTTCCTTTCCACACAATCGATGTGGAACTTAAATAACTAGTATGCATGTACAATATGCTCCCTTTTTTTGTTTTCCCCTCTTTTTTCTTTTGATTTTGGTTGATTTTTTTTTTGCATATATCTTGTTTTTTTTAATGTAGGCACATGATTTTAATCTTTATACTTTTTATTATTAATGCATATTTTTTTTAAATCTGACCTTTTTAATTTAGCTTAAACATGCCTTCAAAAAATGTCTATTTTATCATTCTATCAACATCTTTTTTGATATTTAAATGAAAAGCTTCACTTATAATTAATATTAATTATATATTTATCAATAATAAATTATATTACCAAGCATCTATAATGTATTTTTGAAAAAAATACATATTTAAATGTATTTTTTATTTAATTATGATACATAAATTAAAAATATATTAATTTAATGTCAATCGGTTCGACTCTGGTTAGACCATGGTTTGACTAATGAACCGTGAATAAGTGCCTCATGATTCAATGACAGATCTAATTTTTAAAACTTTAGTATTTTCTTATTAGGAGTTAGCTGGGGTAGTACTTGAGTAGAATTTATAAGTGGCTGAGTAGTAATTTTTGTAAAAATCACAACGTTGGCCCAAAACATATATAATTTATTTTTCCAAATTATTTAATAATTAATATTTAATTTTTTGGTTTGACCGGTTCTTAGCAAAACTTGCTTTAGGGTGTGTTTGGTTAGAGGGGAGGGGGCTCCTTTGGTTAGGAGGAGGGAAGGAAAAATTTTTAAAATTTTCCCTCCCCTTCCCTCCAAAGCCTTCCCTCCAAATTGGGGAGGAGCTCCCCTCTCCTCCCCTTCTCTCCTCTCCCCTTACCTCCCTTCCCTTTCCCTTAAACTAAATATATCTTTAGGAGTTAATTCAGATTGGACATGTAGTTGGTTCACGGTTAGGTTGGTTTTTAAACATTGACTAGCATAGGCCCAATTGGAAGGAATGAAAAGAAGAAAAAGAACAATAATAAAAAGCAGAACCAGTTGAGTTTTTAAGGGATAAAATTATGAGCTTAAATATTGAATACATGCATTAGTTTTTCTTCAATTCTTTTTTCTTTCTCTGCCAACAATCAAATATTTGCAATTTCATTCTCTATCATGTGTGTAAAGTTGAGATAAACCGGCTTTGCTCCTTGAAGAAAAGATGCCAACATGATATATTGTGACCAAATAAAATGAAGAAATAGGGTGCAGCATCGTTATTTATCGAATCATCTATTTTATCTTTTATTGACATAAAAGAAAAAATATTGTTGCTTGATCTAATATTTTTTTTCAAAAAAATTATTAAATTCAATTGATTTCTTGTCAATGAATAACTTTCAATTAAGAAAATTGCAATATTTCACCATTTCTAATATCTATTAAGACAATTATCTTTATTTTGACGTAAGAATTCATGAATATAGAGAATTTAAATTAGATTGTTTATATATTTATCATATTTCCATTAATTAGATCACCATCATATTACTGTATTACTTACTTCCTCCGTTCAAAAAATATAAATTATTTTTAATTGAATCTCACCCTTCAATAAAATAGTTATCTATTTTTAAATTAACCCTATCTTTTCATATTTATCCTTATTAAATACCTTACAATAAATATAAAGTCATTATCAATAGGAGAAATTTTAAAAAAAAGTAATAACTATATTTCAAAAGATTAAAAATGCCTTACATTTTTTAATATTTAACTTTTCAAAAAATACTTTATATTTTTAAATGGAAGGAGTAAATTAAATTGCTCATACGTTTTGTGGGAGAAAAAAATGCTCCTACTTGAAACCACAAGCCTAGCTAACTATTTAAGGAATATTCCTATGACAAAACCTGTTTTTTTTTTTTTACAATTAATATCTGTGAAATTTTTCAAATGAAAGTCTACATTGATAACGAATTATTTAACAACTAGAGATGAACAAACCGAATACAACAAAAGAAATGTTGTAGGGGAAACTAAGATGAAAAAATTATTTAATGAATTGGCGAATACATTGATAATGAATTATTTAACAACTAAAAATGAACAAACTAAATATGAGTATGTTTGTATTAAAAAATTTACAATTAAAATTAAAAAATTAAATTTTAAAAAAAAGTTAATTAATGTAATGCGATTTATATTTAGATATTTTTTTAAAATTCAATCAAATAAATTAAAATTTATTTAAGTAATTTAATTTAAAAGCTAGTTGAAATTTTTAATGATCAAAATAAATATAAATTTTTTATATATTTTTTATCTAACTAATAAATAAAAAATATTAAATTTAAAAGTATAATTAATAAGTAAAATAATTTAAATATTCAATCATTAATTATGAGGCAGAGTAAAATAAATTTTTAATTATCAAAAATCATCAAATCCACTAATTTGCCACTAATGGACATTGATTCAATGTTGTAAGCTCACATGAATTTAACACATGGCACTGTTTCGCCTGACTCTCCTTGCCATTGTCTTTTTTTCCTCCTCCTCCTCCACTGATAAAACAATCCCACTCCTTCACTCTCTTTCCTCACCATCATATATTCTTCTCTCTCTCCTCATCATTTTGAGTTCAGTTCCACCAGGCAATGCTTATACTAGTCAAGCATCTCTCTCCTCCCTCTCCCTTGTCTCTAGTGTGTCTTCTCTTTCATTCTCTCGCTCCCTCTCCTCACCGTCTGTGAATATTGGGAGCTCAACACATGGTGCTGGACAGTGTCGCCATCGTCAATAGAAGCAATGGTGAGAGAGCCAGATAGCTAGCAAGTGACAATCTCCACAAGTTTAACATTGTCAGCTCCCATGCATATGATGGAGGTTCACCGGAACACCCTGCCGTCAACTCTCAGTTTACTCGTGTATGGAACTTGGCAGGAAGAGCTCTTGAGATCTGTTTTAAGAGCTCAAAAACAGGGGCAGGAAGTGTGCTCAAGCTCATGACATCGTGGTTGTTCGAAGCAGCAGTAGGAGCAACCTCTCTTAGCCATGAAAGTTGAACTCAAATATCTCATCATATCCATACTCGATGACCCAAGTGTTAGCGGAGTTATGAGAGAAGCTAGTTTTTCTAGTCCGTGAAAGCCATGGAGGGTCAGGATGAAGAAGCAGATGAGGATGATGATGGACCAGATCTGAAAGTGTAGAGCTGCACGGGAAGAAAGCAGAGCTCGTGTTAGATAAATGAAAAGAGAGAGAAAGCATAAAAAATTAAAAGCCAATTAATACTCCCAACGGCCAAACGTTATCGCTGAGGGAAAAAAAGCAAGGTGTGATGGCTTCTCAAAAAACGCTCATTTAACCCTAACTTAGGTTCAAAATAATTATTTTTAGGCTTTTTATATCCTAACCTCAGTTTGACCTATTCTAATGAGGTTAAAAGTTAATCCAAACATGTACTACATCCAGATTGCGTTAGCTACTCTAATTGATTAGTGTAAGAGAGTGAGACTCTAGATTTGATTCCAACGAGAGTTAACCTTCACGTTGTAGGGGTCAAACCACCAGTAGAAGATAGTGGCAAAGCACAATGCTAATGGAATTTTTCTCTGATGAACTGCCAAAGCATGAAGAGAAGAAGATAATATGGCTTCTAGTGTGGAGATGTCCAGGAGCTCAGATGATAAAAAGAAAAACTTCCAAGTTCTAACCAACAGTGAATGGAAAAGGAGGAGGCAAATGATTATGACTTATGAATGGATGATTGAGTGGATAGTTTCTGTAATTTTTGAAGTGAATATATAGATTATTGTATAAAGAAGATGCCCATAATGCACAAGGGATCTGCAGGTAGAATGAAAAATTTCTTTAGCGCCGTGGAATTAGTGGTTTATCAATAATTTAAAGGCAAGGCATGCTTACGCTATTATAAATAACGGTGAAGCTTGCAAAGTTAAATTCTGGTATTGCCTGTTGGAAACTGGGAATTTAAAATATGACACAGGGATGGTATGCGAACACAAATGATAGAGATGGACATGGTAGTTTATTCGCCAAAGGTGTAAAATTTCATGCTTGTTTTTGCTTCTCTGGTACTTATTAATATTTTAAGTTAAAGGTTTAGTATTCAATTTTCATAGTGTACCCTAACAGGAATAATGTCTTATTGTTTGAGAGCTAAATAAAATTGAGTGTGCCGTATATAAGATGGAGATATCTTTAGACTAATAATTCAGTAAATAATTTTCTTTAATGAAAATTGAGATTTTGCACATCATATCAGCAATTTCCTAACTGTTGAAACCGACACAAGTGAAAAGGGGGCAAAAAAAAAAAATGAAAGTCTAACACGATGAATTCGGCTGTTACTGCCATAGTTATATATGTTTTAGCTTAAAAGGTCTAAAGTGTTCTATTTAAATGTTATTTTTTGTCGTTCAAAGGTATCTACCTAATTTTTTGTAGTCATTATAATCAATGACATGAAATATATATATATATATATATATCAAAACGACCAAATATAATAGAAGAATGTAATTGTATATATTTAGGTTAAAATAAGAGAAAACTAATTAACCAACTGATCAAATCAATATACACTCTCAAGGGAAGGAAAAGTGAAGTTTCATTATGCAGAGTTTGGAAGGTCTTCTACGATGAGATTGTGACTGCTGTAGATATATTGGACAGTGTTGTATCTTCTTCTTCTTCTTCTTCTTCTTCTCTCTCTCTCTCTCTCTCTCTCTCTCTAATCAGCAGTTCAGCACAGACTATGGGAAATCGTAGATGGACTAGAATTAGCATGGCGTCCTGGTTAAAGGCAAATTAAGTTGGAAGTACGTTAGCTGTCCAACTAAAGATCCAAATGAATAAGAAAAAGTGTGGCTGTTAAATTAAGACTTGTATGTAAAATTCTCGAAGTACTCCAGAGGAACTGGACATTAGACATTAGACATGCTCATTACAATATGAATTGACTTTATGGTTACATAATGTTTATTGGCGCCTATCTGATATGGAGGATTTAGAACTGCATTGCACTAGTCGGGAAGTACTCATTTCTGCAGATATTATGGCAAGAAATGCTCACTATGGACTTTCTGGTCTTATTATTCATGATAATGTAATTGATATCTGTAGCGATCAATATGCTCGAGATACATCTCTAGTTTAGTTTCCCTGACTTTCAAGCCTGGGCTTGCCGTTTGTGATTAAAAAAAAAGAGAGAGAGAGAACAGTGTTCATCATTTTGATTCTTATTGAGTTGGATTCTCAATATTTGAATGATATGATGAAGCCCAAATTGACGGTCATGCATCCTTCTATGTGTGCTAATAATGCTCTTATAATATGGGTTCAAGAGCTTGAAGGTCCGACAATGGTGTCTACTAGCAATGGAATTTTGATTCTTCTAGTTTTATGGGGGGTACAATCTTTAGGTTATATTTTTTTTTTTTTTCCATGAAAGAAAGCTGCTTCTTGGTGGATAATCTGAGTTCTGCGTGGTGGCCAACGGTGGCTGCTGCTAATGAGTTCCAAGCGGCCAATTGTGGTTAATTGGTTATGGATGGTGTTATATTATCTGGCAATTATTCTCGGGATCGGAGAGATTTGTTTTTTAATTGACAAGGGCACTTGAGCCTTTTCATAATATAAATAAATATTAATATTAAAAATTAAATTAAAAATTCATAGTTATACCAAATATATTTTTAAAATTCAAATCTATCTCCATTTTTACAACCATGTTCTACTATGTCCATTTCCTGCAAAATTATTTTCATGAACCAAACAGGCCCTTCGCATTTATAATTTTTTTGAACGGCTGAAAGTCCACAGTGGTTTAAAAACATCCACGTCCACGCCACTCCGGTTGACTGGAGATCTAATAAAATAATAAAATCCAGTGTTAATTTTTTTGTAAAAAATCCATGTGTGGAACTGAAAGTCCAAGACCAATCTAGTGGATGAAAGAGACAATTATATATTATTATATTTATATTAGAACTTTGAATCTATTCTATCATCTTCGGCAACTGGGCTCCAATCTGAACTCTTCATTCATCATTGAACCTTGCTTAACTTGGGAGTGGGACTCTGCCAACACAAGAACCGTGTTTTCCTCATGGCAATAGTCAAGATCCTGGAACAGTGTCAAGTTTCAGCTCCCCAAGGTTCAGTTCCTTCTTCCACTCTTCCTCTTACTTTCTGGGACATGCCATGGCTTCAAGTTTGGTGCCCTGTTCAACGTCTCTTCTTCTTCGACTTCCCACATCCCACCAACCATTTCCTCCATACCCTCCTTCCCATCCTCAAGCACTCTCTCTCACTCTCTCTCCAACACTTCTTCCCCTTCGCCTCCAACCTCGTTCTCCCTCCTGACCCTCTTCATCTCCATCCTTACCTCCTCTACCGCGACGGCGACTCTCTCCCCTTCACCGTCGCCGAGTCCTCCGCCGATTTCTCCGGCCTTGTATCTGACTCCCCTACAGATCTTGCTGACTTACACCATCTCGTTCCCATGTTGCCCTCACCATCTACCTTAGAAGACGGCACGCGTTTGATTCCTCTCATGACAATTCAGGTCACGGTTCTAACCAACTCTGGGCTGGCCATCTGCATCGCTTTTGCCCACGTAGCCGGGGACGGCAGAGCGTTTCACCATTTCATGAAGTTTTGGGCCGCTGTTTGCAGGGCGAGGGGGAATTTGGGCTCCCTTCCGGCAGGCTCTCCGCCTCTGCCGTGCCATAGCAGGGATATCATTGAAGATCCTAAAGGGCTTAAGCTCGTCTACTTGAAGGAGCTGCCGAAGATAGAGTTGAAATCCATGGAATTTGCACCCTTCGTCAGTGATGTTTCCTCCGACAAGGTTCGGGCCACGTTTGTATTGAAGCGGGACCAGGTTGATCAGATAAAGAGATGGGTTTCGATCAGATGCATCGGCGACGGTACAGGGACGACTCATATATCAACCTTTGTGTTGACTTGTTCTTTGATGTGGGTCTGTATGATCAAATCAGAAGAATCCCACGATCAAAGACTTGATGAACCATGCAAATTGATTTTTCTAGCAGATTGCAGAAACCATCCAGACTTCACAATACCTTCTGCGTACTTTGGAAGTTGCCTGACTATTCCAATTGTGGTTCTGGAGAGGGGTCGGTTAGTGGGCGAAAATGGGTTTGTCGAGGCAGTGAACGCTATCGAAAGCCGAGTGAGAGAAAGAAAGAGTGACCCTTTAACAGGAGCAGAAAAAATCATGTCAGACTTGAGAAATCTTTCCAAGTCTGAGCAACCTGCGTTGACAATTGCAGGCTCCCCGAGATTGGGAGCGTACGAGACCGATTTTGGGTGGGGGAAGCCCAGGAAGAGTGAAGTTGTTCATATTGAATTCTTTGGATGCATTTCTCTACCTGATAGTAGGCAGAGTGAGGTTGCAATTGAAATTGGGGTCGCACTTAGAAGGACTCGAATGAGTAGTTTCGCAGACAATTTGGAAAAGCAGCTTAGAAATATTAATTAATGTAGCTTGTGACTGAACCATTCAATTTGATTGGACATCGATACGCTTCATCTGTCTTTTCAAGTTCAACCATTACGATAAGGCAGAAGCATCCATCAGATCGAAATAATGGGAGGGCCTAAGTGGTACCGTTGTCCGTTGGTCAGACAGCGAACCTCTTATGGCTTTATTGTACTATGTTTGTTTTAAACAGTTTAACTAGCGAATAAATCTGTACAACCATTCCACGTAGTCCAAGTATGTTGTTTTCTTGACGTGGTTCAATCCCCGGGGGGATGACATGTGCTTGCTTTGTTTTTTCTTGCTTTGTTTTTTTTTTTTTATTTGGGGAATAAGAAAGGTCACAGATAATACCGTGCAAATAACATCAATCAAGTGTGATTCGTCTAAAACATGTGCTTGCTTTTAATTCGATGTTATGGTGGGTGAGTGAGAGAGAGAGAGAGAGAGAACTAAATAACTAACTGATCAAATCAATCTGCATTCTTAAGGGAAGGAAAAGTGAAGTTTCATTAAGCAGAGTTTTGAAGTTTCAAATTAAACAGGCACAATTACATCAGTGACAGTGTTGTATCATGTTCTTCTTCTTCTTGTTTTGTTTTTTCCTATTCTTTCTTCTCTCTCTCTCTAATTACCATAGGCTATGGGAAAGCTTTGATGGACTGGAATTAGCATGGTGTCTTGGCTTAAGGCAAATTCAGTTGGACTTGGAAATACCTTATCTGTCCAACACAAGATACAAATGAAGCAGAGCACATGTGGCTATTAAATCAAGACTTGTATGTAAAATTATCATAGTACTCCGGAGGAACTGGATATATATTACATACTAAACATGCTTATGGCAGGACTAACAGATGTATTGACTTTATGGTTACATCTGCATTATGATCAGAAGTGTGTTCATTATTTCGATAATTACCGAGTGGGATTCTCAATATTTGAATGATGATGTCCAAAGGGTCATGCATGTATCCTTGCGTGTGTTCTAATAATGTTCTTACTGAAAGACCTATTCCTAAAAGACTTATCGCTAATTTGTAATTGAGTAATGCTTATTTACTTAGCCTATCCAAGTTTTCACCTTAATTGAGTAACTCTTTCATAAATTCTGAGTTTTTGATGTTCCAGACTTGTCATAACTCTCATACTCGAGTATGCTTTGTTAAAGTGAGTAATGAGTCTCCTCTTTGTTTTTTGTATTCTCTTGCTTTTACTCCAGCAATTGCTTCATACACACACACACAGTCAAATAATTTCTTCTTACTCCAGTTTGCTCACTTCAAGAGTTCAACCAGTCAAGTAAGGATATATCTCGGATTATTGATACATTTTATCCACTCATTTAGGACCCATTTTATAAGTTATATTTTCCTTTTTGGTGCATTCATATTCTTAAAAGCAAAAAAATTGTCTAAAGGACAAAGTTGTGCATTAAGAATATTTCGGTCCAAAAAAATAAACTTTTGAAAAAAAATATAAAAAAATTAGCAAAATGTATTTTTAGTGCAGAAGAAGAGTGGTCAAATTAGATTTTATAAATTCATTTTAGTTTAAGAGTAATTAAATAAAAAGTCAACATTTTCTCAATGTTAGTTTGACCTAGTTTTGGGTTTGCATTTGTGTGAAAATTTTTATATAATTTTGTGCACCCAAGAACTTGAATATTTTAATAACTTCTCCCTCCTAAATATAAATTTAATTCAGTGCTTTAATTAAATTTTATGATATCACATGTTATTTAATTGAATTATGTTTTTATGTGATATAAATAACATGCGACTTGTGCATCAATTGAGCAAATTAAGTCAAAGTTTCATGAGGTCAAGGGCTGATGCAGTTGGACACTTTTTCTCTTAATTGAGTGGACTAGATCAACTTAAAATGTTAGTTTTATTAAAATGTGTATGCATGTATAATTTATTAAGAATAAATTCATATCTATCACCCTTCCAATGTTGATAATTTAAAGTCTAAAAATATAAATTTAGAGACATATTGAATTTATCATATCATAAAATGAATTTTATGAAAAAAATTAAAAAATGATAATATTCATGGAAAGATATATGTATCGTAGTTCACCTCTCAATTCATATGTGAATATTATCAAGTCTAATTTACGAGTGGTTTTTCCAAAACTATTTTCTACGTTGACTTTGTTCTTACTCTTCCACATAATTCATTTCTTTTTATTTAAAAATGCAATTTTATGATATTTAAAAGATAACTTTTTTGGAAATAAATTTTGCTGCATATATTTAAAAGACATTATAAAAGAATTTTATTTAATTAGTTAGTATTAACCTATATAATTACAATATTCACCCCTTCTAAAGTTCTAATATATAAAGAAAATTATATTTATTTTGATGTAAGAATACATGAGTATAGAGGATTTAAATTAGAGTATTTATCATACCCAAAAAAAATGTGAATATTGATATATTAATCATATTTCCATAAATTAGGTGACCAGCATATTACCTTGTTACTCAAACTAAATCGCTCATACCTTTTGAGGTAAAGAAAAAAATGCTCCTCCTTGAAATCACAAACCTAGCTAGCTAATTAAGAAATAACCCAATGACAAAAATCTTTTCTAACAACAACTAATATCTGTGGAATTTTTCAAATGAAGGTCTACATTGACAGTAAATTACCTAGCCATCAAAGATGAACAAACCGAATACAGGTAAAGAAATGATGTAGAAAAAAGACTATGGTCCTGAAGCTAGAAATTGATTATTCAATAGCTCTGCTAAAGCAATTGCACACGGCCGAAACGTCACCGTTTACAGGCTCATGCCCCTTACTTTTGGGACAGGTGACCGAGTCTCTGCTCGGCATCAACCCTCAAATAGCTTCTTTCAAGAAATGTCCCGTTGTCTTGATGCCCCCTCTCAGGTTATAAGCTACAGCTACATAGCTCGGCGGATTCGCGTCAAAGTGATAGCCTTATATAAAATATATTACCGTAGAAATTACATGATGTGGGGCTTTCTGTGTTTCAAGGTCCCAAGAAACGACAAGGATGATCTGATGACCGAAGATCACTACCAGAGCGTGACTGCTGGCTGGCTGTACCAATCCGTCGGTCTCTGCTTTACCGTAACCGATCGTTCCCGTGGGGCTTGTCCTCGGGGGATGGTCTTGACAAGTTCACATTTTTTTTTTTTTAATATTCAGAAACGAGAGAAGGATTATGGACCATCGCGTCAGATTTTCTGTTTCTTCTTACTTCTTCTTCTTCTTCTTTTGTTCCGTTTCTCTGAGATATTTCAGTTTAAAAACCATTGACGTCAACGTCTCTGTACATGTGAAGGTGCTTGGCAGTGTCCGATGAGTGACGGAGGTCGACGGCGATGACCAGCCTCAAAGACCAAAGACAGTGGCTAGAAGGATACTTCAGAGGGAGGTTTTCACTTGTTGCTGAAGACATGTCTCAGGTTTAATTTATCATAGCCTATATGTTCTACTTAATACTTATTGTTGAAAGAAGGAAAATATAACTTCAGGTGTGTGGGAATAAATGGCCGTGAACTGAGAGCTCAAGTTTTTCTTTGGCTTGCAGTTAAAGAGAAATTTGTAAACAACAGTGAGAGGAAATGGAGGCAGATGACATAACAGATGGTGGAGCGTGTAGTTTCTGTAATTATGGGAATGAAGATATAGGAATCTGCAGGTGGGATAGAAAAGTTATGGACTGGTGCAAAAGTACGTCGTGTGTTAATTTTTTTTTTTTTTTTGGGGGGGGGCATGTATTCAAAAGAATACATTATATATTGATGATTTAAACCTCCAATCAACGCCCAACTACATGTTATTGTAAGGCAAAAGAGTTGAAGGTTGGCCAATTGGGTAAGACTTAATATCAACAGCTCATCAGTTAACAATTATGATGTTAATTCTTATGATAGCCTCATCTCAGACAACCAAGATAATTTGATTAAGGGCTTCTCAAAATACTTTAGCTACCACTCTGTTACCGTTGCAGAACTAATGAATATCCTTGAAGGAATCAAAATTTATTGGGATGACAAATTTGATTAAATTTGTATTTTAATTCTCTTAAAACTCTTACGCTCATTCAACATGAACTCTTTTATAGTCATTCCCTCATTTAAATCATTAGGAAAATCAGGGAATTCGTCATGAGAGACTAAATAATCACATTTAATCATGTCTTCAAAGAAAGCAAATAAATACGCTAATTGGCTTACACATCAATCTTCGTATGATAATTTAGATATAACGATTTTTGTTTTTCACTCAACGTGGGTATAGGAATTTTTTTGTACTCAAACATGACTTGATTTGTCATCATTTTACATGGATTTTCCTGTGGCCTTTTAGTTTTTGTTAAAAAAAATCTGGAGTTATCCTCTTGCTTGTAACCATTTTATCACCAAAGGGGACAAGAAGAAAAGAAAATTTCTCTCAATTGGAAGTAACTTGAAAGAATACTCAGAGTCAGAGGAATTTGGAGACTAGGCACTAGAATTGGTTATTGAGTGTTATGTTCATTATTTTGAATAACTATTGAGGGGGATTCTCAGTATTTAAAATGATGATGCCCGAAGGTGATCCTCATTTGTGTTGTAATAGTGTTCTTGATGAATTATAAATGAAGTTGCCCTTTTGACGTCTTTTTTTTGGGGTACCAAAACAAATTAGTTTTCTACATTACAATGAAAGGGTTTACAAAGAATAATTACCAAAAGAAAGAAAGAAAGAAAGAAAGAAAGAAAAGAACAGGAGGTTCCGAAAAAAAAAATATATAGTTAAGTTTCTAATATTTTTTTAAAAAAGTTGCAAATATCAAGTTAAATAAGTGAAAATTCAGAAATTCTAATTTTAAGTAAAAAATTTACGTTATAAGTATAGATCTTAATTACTAACGGGGTCTTGTCAACTTATCTTAAAAACTGTTTCATATTAATTTTTTTAACAAATTTCTATTAATAATTTAACAAGTAACCATTTATAAAATAACAAGTTCTCATTACTAATTTTAAAAATTTTTCTTAATAATTTGACAAATAAATTTTACCACAATAACAATTTTATATAAGCTTTTGGTAAACTTTTGGTGATAAAAATAAGTAAATATTTTGTAAAAATTAGTGTATATTAAATTCTTCAATAAGTTCTCAATTCTAATTTAATAAGTAATCATTTATGAATTGATAAGTAACCATTAAATTCTTGCAAGTATTTGTTTGGAAATTAAAAATAAAGTTGATAATATATATAAAGTTGTGTACTACATGACTAAGTACTGCTGGCTTTGTGGCAAGCAATTATTTTTGGTGACCATGGG